AGTTCACAGATAGCAGTCTTGTATGCGGTGGAAGGGGCAAGGAAGCTCTCTGAGGTCTCTTTTATGAGGACATTATTCCCATTGCCATCACTTCTCCAGGTCCTAACCTCCAAAAACTATTACAAAGGGAATGGGGTTTTGTCATAAACTTGTTTAATATACTTGCTGCCCTGGCATCTACATTTAGAACTGACATAAGATTTTTGAAGCCCAGTTGTACTCTATCACATTTGTTAACAATTCCCATATTGTTATTCCTCAACTCATTGACCCAAAACCCAGAGTGTGACCATAGAAAACCTAATGGTAAACACCAATATCACATAAAAAAATTCCCCTCTTTATGTATATTTTCTTTTATCTAGTCAATTTTCAACCCCTGTGGGAAAGCTTAATAAAGAGGTAGACTCACAAGCCCTCTCTCTTTCTTTATTCTCTCTCCTCTTCTCTGTCCTTTGTCTGTCTGCCTCTCTGTCTCTCTGTCTCTCTGTCTCTCTCTTTCTCTCTCTCTCTCTGTCTCTCTCTCCCCTGTCCCTCCCCCAGTCTTTCCCAGAGGGTTTTTTCCTCACTCTCCAGCTTTTTCCCAAGGCTTCAGAGTACTTCCTGTGTACCATGAAGATACCTGAGAAGCTTTGTGGAGGCTATAGACTTGCTCAGAGGCTGCAGCTCCTCTTAATTCTAATCTCTTATGCCAGTAAAAAAGGAGGCCTTTAAGATTCCATAAACATTTGACTGATTTCCCCTTATCCCTCTATAGAATCTTCCTCTACCTTTCACTATTTTTCAAGTGGTGAAAACAGCCACTTTCTAGAATTAGTTCATTCAAATTTCTCTGCATCCTTAGCTTCCTGAACAGTTTGTTTTGTTCTATGTGTAACTTTGATTTGTTAGGTTGTCCGGTTAATATTGGTAGTAAGGGTGAGAGTGATAGTTCTTTTTTCTGCATTCAAATTATAAACATAATTTTAAATATGTATTTCATATTCATAACATTAATAATTTCAAATTTCTAGTCATGGGCAACCATAAATGACTTATCTAAATCTCAGTTATCTTAGGGAATAATAGTAGAATTTGTCACAAAGCAGAATTATAATGATTGAATATTGAGAGTTGTGATAAGTATGCATTAGTGTCTAAAAAAGACCATCTAAAACATGATTATTGTTATTTTATATTCCTTAGGACAATATGATAATAATATGATGACAAAATGATAATTTTTTTTGCTCTGAATTTCTCCAGACATGGAGGACATCATGATTAATTTTATGTATAATCTTGACTAGGCTAAGGGATGTCCAGAGAGTTGGTAAAACATTATTTCTTGGTGTGTCTGTGAGGCTATTTAAAGAAGAGATTATCACTTGAATTTCTAGACTTATTAAAGAAGACTCACTTTCCCCAATGTGGATGGCATCATACCATCGGTAGAGGACAGGATACAACAGAAAAGTAGAGGGAGGCTGATTCTACTGTCTCTGCTAGAGCTGGGAATCCATCTTCCACTGTCTGTGGATGTCAGATGCTTGGTTCTTGGGTCTTTGGAATAAAAATCTCTCTCTAGCTGCAGATAGCAGATCATGGGACTTGTCAGGCTCCATATCCAGTTCCACAGAACCACACAGCACTGGGAATTTCATATCACAGTAGAAAACATCATGTGTAAGTGGGTGAGGGGATAAGAGCCAGGATAATAGCAGAGGCAGATTCCAAATAAAATTCAAGTCTTCTAAAATAGGACTCACAGGTGTAGGAAGGTCAAGGGAATCAACAGCCACTGTTGAGAGACCCCAGGGGAGCAACGATAGGAGTCCTGTGCCATTCAGTGTGTAGCCCAGAGGACAGACACATGGTCATCTGGGAACATGAGGAGAACTGAGTGAAGAGCATGTGGACAGAAGTACAAGTGGGTGAGGGAACCAGCAAAGGATGCCCAGGCACCTGGGCACTGCCAGAGAGCAGTGGGGAGTCAGTATGTCCCTCAGTCTGAAGGACAAGGGATAAACACAGTGTCAGCAGGAGTTGGAGCTATAGAAGGGGGTCTTCCCCACAGAGCTGCAGTTACAGGGTGCAGTCCATGTCAGAACCAACACATCTGAGCAGGCGAGGTGCAAAGAGAAACACTCAACCTCTCTTTCCTCCCACACATTTCTTGCTGGTTCCTATGCAAAGGCTGAATTCAATAAGGTGGCAAAAAGGAAAAGAAGCCTGGTGATTCAGTTCATAGGAGTTGAATTACTACTGTATGGAGTAGGACAGACAGGGAGGAAGCATGGATTAGGGAAAACATAAGAAAACCAGCAATAGAATAATAGGCAAGACAAGGGCTAAACCCTGGGTGTCCTTTGTCCCATCTCAGTGAAGTCCTCAATTCACAGGGCACCTGAGTCATAAGCTCA